TTTATTCTCATTATTTTTCCCTGGTGTATCCCAAAGGTTGTCCCATTGCTTGTAAAAAAAAAAACAAAACAAAAACAAAAAAAAAACCAGGAGCAACACTTCTTCATCATATTGTCTGTCTGTTCTCTTCGCCCCCTCCCCCCGATCGCCTTTGTCCAGATGTTTATCGACCCCCTCAAAGAATTCCAATAGATTGGTGAGGCATGATTTCCCTTTACAAAAGCTGTGTTCACTCTTCCCCCACACATTGCGTTTATCTATATCGGGGTGGCCAAACTTACTGATCTTCCAAGCTGCATATGACAATCATCAGAAGTTGGAGAGCCGGGGCACACCTTCCGAGGCTTGGGGCTTCAGTCCCACGGGAGGTGCCTGATGGGGCTTGGGGCTTCAGCTCCACTCCTGTTGAAGCCCTGAGACCCCCCTACTCCCCGCTGGGCAGAAGCCCCTACCCCACCACCCCACTGCAAGGCAGAGGTCCCGAGCTCCCCCACCCCTAGTCAGGTAGGTGGAGAATGTGGGGGAGGGTGTGTGGGGCTCTGCAAGCCACACTTTAATGGTAAAAGAGCCACATGTGGCTCGCGAGCTGTGGTTTGGCCACCCCGATCTATGTATCTAGTAATATTTCTGTTCTTTACTATAGTTTCAATCAATTTGCCTGGATTGCGTCTGGAGTCTTTTTTTTTTTTTTTTTTTTTTTTTTAAATTGGTGTCACAGTAGCTATGTGCCAGGCATCTGGTACAGAGGCTGATTTAAGCGATAGGTTACGTACCACAGTTCTGAAATTTCATATTTGAGTTGCTTCAGGACTCTTGGGTTACTACCATGTGATCCTGCTGACTTATTACTGTTCCATTTATCAATTTGTTCCAAAACCTCCTCTACTGACCTCCATCTAGGACAGTTCTTCAGATTTGTCACCTAAAAAGAATGGCTCAGGTTTGGGAATTTCCATCACATCCTCTGCAGTGAAGATCAATGCATTTAGCTTCTCCACAATGGCCTTGTCTTTCTTGAGTATTCCTTTAGCACCTTGCTCATCCAATAGCCCAATGATTGTTGCAGTGTTCCTGCTTCTGATGTACTTAAAAACGTTTCTGCTGTTTAGTCTTTTGCTAATTGCTCTTCAAATTCTTTTTTGGTCTGCCTAATTCTACTTTTACACTTGACTTATCAGAGTTTGCTCCTTTCTATTTTCTTCAATAGGATTTTACATCCAATTTTTAAAGGATGCCCTTTTTGTCTCTCTTTTTACTCTGTTTAGCCATGGTGGTGTGTGTGTGTGTGTGTGTGTGTGTGTGTTTGTTTGTTTGTTTGTTTGTTTTTGGTCCTTTCTTATTTGGGGTATACTTTTAATTTGACCCTCTATGGTGTTTTTTAAAACATTTCCATACAGCTTGCAGGGATTTCACTCTTGTAACTGTTCCTTTTAAACTTCTGTTTAACTAGCCTAATGTTTTGTAGTTTCCTTTTTTGAAGTTAAATGCTAGTGTGGTGGGTTTCTTTGGTATTTTCTTCCTTATAAGGATGTTAAATTTAATTACATTATGGTCACTATTACTGAGTGGTTCAGCTCTAGTCACCTCTTGGACCAGATCCTGTGTGCCACTTAGGACTAAATCAAGAATTGCCTCTCCCCTTCTGGGTTCCAGGACTAGCTTGCTGCTCTAAGAAGCAGTCATTTATGGTGTCTAGAAATTTTATCTCTGCATCCCGATGTGAGGTGACATGTACCCAGTCAATATGGGGATAGCTGAAATCCCCCATTATTATTATTATTGGGTTTCCGTGCATGTGTGTTGTTTTTTGTAGCTATTCTAATTTTTTTGAGAATTTCACAATCACCATCACCATCCTGGTCAGGTGGTCAGTAGTATATTCCTAATGCTATACTCTTATTATTCAAGCATGGAATTTCTATCCATAGAGATTCTATGGTACAGTTTAACTTAAGATTTTTATTATATTTGACTCTCTGCTTTCTTTCGCATATAGTGCCACTACCCTACCAGCATGATCTACTCTCATTCCTATGTAGTTTGTACCCTCTTATTACCATGTCCCATTGACTATCATTGTGCACCTAGTGAAGTGGCACATGAAGGAAAGCCTCCCTCAAATTGACTGATGAAAGCTAATCTCCCTGGCAAATCGCCGCCAGTATCGACTTCAAGGTCTCCATCTTGAATCTGGTCCTCCTTAGGAACTTGTTCAGGTGTGAAGTCCAACACTGCTGTAGTCTCCCTGGATCTCTTGGGTACCAGAAATAAGATTGAGTAATGGCTGGAAAACATCTCCGCCTCAGGAACTCTCTACTATATCTATTTGCAAATGATTGTCTGTGGCCTTCTGCATCTTCTGCGGATTTGAGTGGAGAAGGGAGAAAAGGATGATTCGGACTCTTTGAAAAGTTTGCCATTCCTTTGTCGAACCACATCCAGGACCCATCTATCCACCATTGAGAGAGGCCACTGGTCCTTGCATTTTAATATCCTCCCCTTTCCCCTGTCCCCTGGGAGTTGCTTTTTGGACCTCTCCTGACTGCAGTCAGGGGTTACTCCTAGCATTGGAATTTGCATTGAGGAAAGAAGATCTTTTCCCTTTCTGGCTTAGACGTGTTTCATCTGCTTTTGCTGTAGCCTCGCTTTCTGTGCTTCGGGAAGTAGCCCTGAAAAGGATACTTCGGCCTGTAGTAAGGCTGGCTATCCCTTTTCTCGCTCGCCCTTCTAGAAGGGCTGACTCACACCTGGTTAAAGCAGGCAGATAAATTTAGTCAGAAATAAGTGGTGGGCCAGGGGGCCCCTTGCCGCCTGCTTGTTCCTCCACCTCTGGGCCGCTCTCCCTCTCAGCCCTCCAAGGCTGGCTCCACGGAACTTGGTTGACCCTCAGTGAGCAGGGTCCTGTTAGCCTGGCAGCTGTGGAATGGCTTGGCAGCTTAAGTGGGGTCTGGTTAGCCTAGCACCTCCCCCCACCCCCCTTTCCTGCCAACCTTTCTCTTCCTCGGATTGCCCGTGAAGTGTTCTGCCAGAGGGGCCTGCCCAGACATGCTAGGCTCCAGGCTGCCAAGGACCTCCGTATCCAAAGGGGTTTCCAGCAACCCAGCTGCAGAGCTCCCCCCCCCGGGGCTAAACAGCCCAGTCCTGCTTTGAATCCTGCTTGGTTGTTTTGTTTCCTTGTTGCCCTGAGCAGGAGGTCTGGGAGGTCC